CTACACATTTGAGTTTCGTCAGTAGAGACATATTCTCAATTTTACCACGGATAGTACAGAGTTGCCCGGATGTGAATGTTGGCCGTTTCCAGAGTGGGAATACATTACCATACTCCATGCCATCCAGCCAATCAGCACCTCCCGTTATCTCCCGGCAGCCCTGAGCCGCTCCGCGATGCCCTTTGGCCTCCTGCGGAGGGAGCTGTCCTGCGAGGGCTACCCCATCGAGCTACGATGCCCCGGCAGCGACGTCATCATGATCGAGACAGCCAACTACGGCCGCACCGATGACAAGATCTGTGACGCCGACCCCTTCCAGATGGAGAACGTGCAGTGCTACCTGCCCGACGCCTTCAAGATCATGTCACAGAGGTTCGTTGGTTACGCCAATCACAGGGCAAATCCGTTAAACCAGCCAATGGGATGAGATTTGAGTCAGTGATTGACAGCACACAATAGTCCCACCCGTAGTGTGGTTCCGCCCATTTGTTGCAGAGAAGGAGGAGGTGGGTGACTGCTAGTATATGCATGAGTATGAGCCCAGTACTAAAGCACGGTGCCGTTTTATGGGATGTTTTATAGCCTGCATTTAATTTCTGTGTGTTTATCAGTGACTCAGAGCTGCGTGCCAGTCCTCCATTAGCAGGAGTCGCATGTCACTCGGGGGTGGAGGGATGGGGGAGGCAGAGAAAGGGTGAGAAACGGAGGGCGGAAGCAGAGCCAGCGGGGGAGAGAGTAAAGTCTGGGGCATAGAGGAGAATGAAGAGGTGAAGAGGAGGTGAGAGGGTCAGGGAGAGCGAGGGGGTGACGTTTCCTACCGCAGACGCCGTCCCTGGCTGGTATTTTGAGTCCTTTCCCGCTGACACCTCCAAGGGCAGACCAATAAGGACGAGGGCTGACGTCAGCGCACCCCCCCCCCCGCACCGGCCTCCGTGTGACATAACCCCACCCCTCTTCCTCTCTCTCTGTCCCTCCATCTCACAGGTGTAACAACCGCACGCAGTGTGTGGTGGTGGCCGGCTCCGACGTCTTCCCCGACCCCTGCCCCGGGACCTACAAGTACCTGGAGATCCAGTACGAGTGTGTTCCCTACAGTGAGTACCAGCGCAGCCCGCGCCCTTCCTCACTGTCCCTCCTCTTCCTCTTCACCCCTTCATCTGTCTCCTTCTCCTCACCTAACCCCCAGCTTTCAATAACCAGCTGACAGACACTCGCAATCACCCCGGTGCCACACACACACACGCAAGGACCCCCCCCCACCGCCCCCCCGCACTGCTTCTTCCCCCACGTCTTCCTCTCGCACGCACACACTCGCACAGGGCAGGACGGGCTGACCTGCAGTCTCGCAGATGCTGCTAAACCGCTCTTTTTCCTCCATCCACAGTGAGGCGCTCTAGAAGCCGAGGGAGATTTTCACGCTTGGGGCTGGGGGGGCGGGGGGTGGTAGATGCTCTGTTTCAAAAGCAGAGTGAAAAACAGCTGCTTGGCCGTGGGGGGGGTGATCTCCACTCCACCCAGACCCCCGACAAACAACCCCAACCCTACTGAGCATGCTCAGTGCAACCGCAGATTTATCTAGTGCCAAAAACCAAAAGCTTCCCCCCCCCATGAAAATGGAAATTGGGCAGTCAGGGCTTCTGAGAGTGAAACAGATCATGAGGTCCATGTTAACACAAACAGCGTACTGCTTATTTTAGTGGAAATGACCCAAAGCCATGTGCATTTTAATATCCCCATGGCAACACCGAGCTCACTGTTTCTCGGCTGCGGAGCGGGTGGGTGGGCTTTCCGCCACACACATGCCAGGCGGAACATGCTGGAATAGGCACGCACACGGGCCCCTGATCCACAGGGCGTGACGCCCGCACGCACAGATGCACCCCGGCATGCAGGACGCGACATGGCACAAGAGCCCCACCCTGCGTGAAAATCTCCCATCAGCCAACTCCCCCCCCCCCAACCCCTTCATGGCGTACATTAATCCCCTCACTGTGCAGCCGTCTCCCCCCACGGGACCCGAACAGCCCTCCGACAGGGGTGGGGGGAGGGGCTGAGGGGGAGACAGGGTGGTGTGGATGGGGGGTGGGGGGTGGCGAGGGAGCGGCGTGTAGCTGAAATGGCTGGGAGTCTGGATGAGTATCCTGGAGGACTGAATCAATTTTACAGCTCTTTTTCTTCTAGAAGGTGCCGAGATGATCCTCAACGTCTTACGCAATAACCGTCCTCATTCTCTCTCTTTTTTCCCTCCAATCCTCTGCTCATCCCCAGCCTTCCACTCTTCTCCAGCACCCTTTACCTCCTTCATTAGCACTAATAATAAGGGGGACCTGCATCTCTCTCTCTCTCTCTCTCCTCTGCCTCAAGCTCTGCCGCGTCTCTTTGTCTCCCTCTCACTCCATCTCACTCCGTCTCTCTCGCTCCGAAAATCACTGTTTCGCTCTAAATCGTTATACCTTCTGTCATTATCTCGCTCTGTCAGTCATCTTACCTCCTCTTCCTTTTTGTAGGTTACTGGACGAACTAAACACACACACATCTTCATCTGTTTGAAGTTCCTTATCATACCTGACCCCCTAATTCCCCCCCACAGGGATGGACATAATGGAGGAACCCAAGCCGTGCACCCCCCCCTTCTTTCCCTGTTTCTCTCCGGAAAGCAGGTGGCGTCATTTAGATTCATAGCGTGTGATGAGCTATCTCGAGGACGGTGTTCATAGCTGCGTGTTAGGGCGGCGCCGGAGGCGGGGGGTATGGGGGGGCGCTTCCTGTGCATGCGTGTTCTGCAGGGTACGTCTGCGCCAGCCAGTGCGGCGTCGCTCCCACGGGGGGCCCGATTCACCGGATCGCTCCGCCGACAGTCACATCGGAAAAGCCGCGACTAGTCAATAGATCCTTTCAAGCGAGCAGCGAGTTTGACGCTCGACTCAAACCAGATGCTTAACTCCATGTTTTATTTCACACAGTATCTCGCGGCTACTCATCACAGGAACCCTAGCTGACTTATTTTATATATGTATGCCCCCCTGCCGCCCCTTCTCGCCTTCCTGGGGGCCAAACATATAAATTTATAATAAGTAAAAATAGCTGCTGAGTTGCCAGTTCTTCTCACGCTATAGCTGAGCTGCTGCGTTTGAAGGATTGCTCGGACAGGAAAAACGGGACCCGATTCTTTCGTGATGAAAAGTCCTCCCGGGCTGGAACGGCAGATCGAGCCAATTACCCCGCTCTCGGTCCGCCGGCGCTCCCTCGGGGATCCACCCGGGGCGGCCAGCTTTTCCCCGCGTCTCCGCTTCTACTTTGGATCAGGGGGAGAGCGGGATAAACAGAAACCAGACTCAATTAGGAGCATATGCAGAAAGCCTCGTCCCAAAACTAAATGGTGTGAGAGAGACAGCTCATCGGAGTTTAATTACAGAGATGGAGTGGAGTGGGTGGCCCCGGCATGGCCTCCCCGGAGATTTCTCCACATTAATTAAATTTCGCGCAACTAAACGCTCGCATACTGCCCCGTCTCCGTCGCCTTGTTGTTACCACACTTCATCTGGAGTATTTAATGAAACGTACTTGCTTGTTTGATTCCTTGTTTTTTTTCTCTTTATTTCTAGAGTGACAGATGGAAATAACGCTAAACAGCTACCGGTGTGCGCGGTCTCAAAGACTGCCGAGTTTGGGCGCGTTACCGAGTTTACCGTGAACGTTAAAGTGCACGCTGGCTGACGGGTTAAAAGCCGAAATGTCGTCTGGAACAGCCCAAAGCCAAAGGGAAAAACAACAGCAGGATTTAAAAAAGCCTCGAGTGAAAGCTTTTAAATAACAGCCACTACCTTTTCAATAGATTTTAAAGTGTAGTGCAAACTCGTAGGCTTATATGGTTTAATCTAAATGAGTTACTCAGAATGAAAAGTAAAACATAAGATTTGTTTCATCAGTCACATCGCTCACTTGACAGTTGTCAAACATTAAGGTTATCATTCGCCAATATCATTGACTTTTCCTTGCGGTGCGGATGATTTAATTACCGCTTAAGGCGGATTGTCCTTACAGACAATAAATCGTTTCAGGTAGCAGGGCCCTGTTGCACTGCCGGGCTGTGAACACGGAGCAGAAAAATTGTATTATACAACGACTAATGCAATAGTTGATGAACCCTTTGTTTTTTTCCAGAATTGTTATTCCATCCAGAAAATAAAACACCACAGCTTGCATATTCACGTTCTTATCATGGCGTTTTAAAAAACTAAAGTGCTTTTATATTGAGTTATAGCTATTACAGTGACGGTGCAAAACTGTGTTTTCCCCCCCAATGAAATATGATTACCAACCTAAAGAAAGAAAAGCCCACCTTCCATTTAGAAAAAAAGGTAGAATCGTAAGCGATCCATTATTTATATTAGGTTTTAAAATTATTGCTCTATCTCGTAACCCACTTATAAATAATTCTTTATTAAATCATTACTTTAGTTCGTAAATGTACCTATAATTTAGGCATTAAAGAGGAATTTCCGCTGCCGCTTTTTCGTTACCGCGGGACAAATGAACATCGTGGGCGCGCTCTGGCGCGCCGCCGCACCGCACCCAGATTAATAAATTATCAGGATCAATATCTTAAAGCAAATTTAGTAGTCCGTGGTACCTGGTAGCACGAAAACAAATTCGGCTTTTATATGGTGCGTTGCATGTATAGGCTTATATATTCCGCGAACAGAAGGATCGGACATTAGTTTGGCCTAATATGCGGTTTGCAACATGTGTACATTATTTATTTTCAAGTAATTACGTTTTACGTGACCTTGTAGGCCTGGATGGAAATTAATTTAAATAGTCTGTCACGGATAACGTCGGAATGCGACTAGGCTCTTGCGTGTATTTAATTTATAAGATGTAACGCGTTTATAAAAAAATTATTGGGTACAAGAAAAGTCAGCAAAGATGGTGAGCATGGCGTTTCCAGAGTGAAAGACACGTACCCAAACGAGGGGATGCAGTATTTACCTGTGACAGGAAGAAACAAGCAGGGTATTTTAGCGTAAAGATCTGCAGCTGAAGTTCGTTCTAATCTGAATTTGTTCATTTGAAATGCGTACATCTAAGACGTCGGTCCCCGTCTCTTGCGTTTTCGGAAGATAACCGGGAAACCAATTTCACAGGGCCGGGAGCGCAGGAATTGGGCGCTCGGTGTTGAGCAGGAAAGTCGCGTTTTGCGGGTGCAGCGGTGCGCGGAGCAGAGCTTGGACTGGCGAGAAATGGAAGGACACGGTGGAGCTTGTGAGTCGCTGTCCTTCATCCTGTTCTTCACCTTCCGACGGGACACGGGATACAATAAAAATCGCAGATAAAGCGACTTCCGCGCTATGTCTACAAACTTCCTGATGGCTTTGGCTTAGTCGCACTGTAAGGTAGAGGGATAGATGGGGGGAAAAGGAGAATGAAACCATCAGTCTTTGCAAACACACACGCAGTCAGCCTGGGACGATGTCGGTGGGGTCTCCCGTCTCTCTATGCTAGCCATGCTAATTACCACCCCGGTGATTAATTGGATTTGTCAAGCTGCTGAGCAGAGGGACACGGCTGTGGATGTGTGAGTGCTGGGAGGAGGGCGGGGAAGGGGGGCCCCGGCCTCAAGGTGAGCGAGTGGATCAGGCCCGCAGATCCTGGAGGAGGGACCCCGACTCATGCCTGCTCCCACCTGGGGAGTGGATGAGAGCATCTTCAATACTCCCTTTTCCTTGCTAACAGCCTTACTGTCTATCTCTCTCTTTCTCCCTGCCACACCTTTGCAGATGGCAACCTCTGGATCTCTCTCCCTCCCCCTCCATCCCTACCCGTCGCTGTCCATTTTCTTTGTCCCCTTTCATAGGTCTGAATGCACCCCGGATTTGCTCCGAGCGGCAGGCAGATGGAGCGAAAGCAGGACGTCAGTCATTGTTCTCCCCGCTCGCGAAACATTAGTGTGCTTGTCACCTTTCTGTACACCAGTGACGGGTGCTCAGGATGGGGGAGGGGGAACCTGCGGGGTCTTTGTTGTGCCCTGGCTTTCGGGCGGATTGATTAAACTCGTCGTCGACAACGGTAACGTGAGTCGGCTTTTCCTAGTAGGAGATCAGATGCTGCCTGGAAATCGGCGCAATCAGAAAATGATTCACTAGTGAATGCGATGGTTGCGGTTGCAATTCTTTCAGCCGTGGCTGATTTAATGAATCACTCGAGTCGTGGTGGTACCATTAAAACACCCCCTACACCCACCATTTCAGTACTTTGGGGGGGAGGGGGGTAGGCGTGCCTGGATGGGGGGCCTTGCTTGTACTGCACAACGGCACCCCTTAATTGTATGAAACCTGTAATGAACAAGGGATATATTCAGTCACAAGGGGTGGTGCCGTCATTTCCACACACGCCCGCCTCGGAGAGTGGCAGCGGGAGGCAGTGAGGGAGGGGGCAGAGGGGAGGCTTTCCTGGGCGCGCTCCATCTCAGCGTGAGACGGACATATTTCCGCACCCCAGGTGTCCCGGACTGGTTGGGGAGGACTGGGCAAACATCTGTTTCCATAGAGCACTGGTCACCGCACAGTCGCCCTCGAAATGGATCGACACCAGACTGAGCTGGCGGCTCTATTTAGTATACAGATTTAAGCCCCCCTCCCATTCACCCCCCCAGGCAGATTCAAGACTGACCCACTGATAGGAACAGCTGTAGCTGGCTGGTTTAACCAAGAGGAGAATACAGCCAAGAAATACAGCGTATTAAAAAACAGCACCAGCAGACAGCCATGCTCCTGCAACGGCAGCTACGGGGAGGGGGGCTGGGGGGCTTGAAAAGACGAGGCGTAACGAGGGAATTGAGCTGACGAGGCTGGCCCGGCCTCTGATTGGTCGTCACGCCTTTAGTGGTCGCCCGGCACAGCGATTAGCTGTGGGTGCAGCGGCTTCTGGTCTGTGTTTGGAATCGAGATTCCCTAATTGCGTGGCTTGCCCGAATCGGACCTCTGTCAACCGCTCTAGTGACCCATTGTTCTCATTGTGGGTTTAAGAATAAGAAGTCTGTAACGTTTGCGAAGCGTCCGCACCTTGCCTTCTCCGTTTTCGTATCATTTCATAAAAACAGCGTGATCACGCTACTTTTTCACTGCACTCCATTGTTTTAACGACAAAGCGGGCAGAGTAATGATCAAATATTAAATATAAAATCATTTGCTGTGTTCGGCTTTACTCGTATTTCAGACGTTTTCAGAAAATAATACACGAAAAACAACAAAATGCGCATAAAATTCAGCATTAAAAAGTGTCAAATATATGCAAATGAGAAATATATAAAATTTCAAAGCTTTATTTCCATTTGATGTATATAAGCAGAATATAGAATCCAGGTGGTTTTTCTAAGTATTGTATTGCAAAACTGGGTCACAAAACTGCTGATACTTTGAAAATGGCACTTAATAAATATTAAGACTGGACTGTAGTTTGGCATCTAATTTTTATTAAATGTTTGCATATTAAACTATTAAAGCTGCCTGCTTTAAAAAATGTATGTCATTACCAGAAAATGATTAGAAAAAAGTACAAAAATAAGTCTTTTTTATAATAAAAAATAGGAAGAAAAGGGTGGCTGGCTTAGAGCCAAAAGAAAAGATCAAATTGAAATGTAAATCTGCACGCCGGAGATGTACAGTGCAGTGGGTTTGCTGCGATTGGCAGCCGGGCCCTGAGGTGCCGCTCGCCTCGCAGAGCCGTTACCGTCGATATCGTCTTTTTTTGGCCTAAAACTGGTGTAAAATATTGACATTTGGAGCCGCACACTGAAGATGTTAAAAATGAAATACGGAGAATGTTTCTTTGAAATTCAGGCATGAGTGAAGTGTGATAGGGATCAGAGAGGGACTCTGGTAGGCTTCACAGCAAGGCCTGCTGGGAATTCGCATCTCCTCTTCCTCCCATTTGTCCTCTTCTCCCTCACAGTGCGGAGGAGGAGGAGGAGGCTAAATGTTTTACTCCCTGACAGGAAGCCAGATGGAGGACCAAGAGGGCGGACGGGATGGGATGGGGGAGTTGATTTTTGGGGCATTTGGGTGGAGAGATGACGATGGGTGGAGTTGGTGGGTGCTTGGGGTGAGGTTGACAGACTAATCTGAAACGGAAGTGCAGATTTGGGGGCTGGGACGGGGCTGATGCTTTTTCATGAAATGCTCACCTTTGTATTTAGCTCCGATATGCATCTGGGTCCATCCTTCCTCTGAAAGTTGTCTGCTCCTGAGTGAACCAAACCGCAGGCAAATAACGTGAATTTAAAAAGAGAAAAACGAACGACAAAAGGACAACTTTTTATTTAATCAATTTTCTCTTTTTTCCTGCACCTGTTTTTTCTTTCACTCTTTCTCTCTCTCTTTCTCTCTCTCCTTCTCTCTTTCTTTTCCGATGCTTGAATAGAAGTGGATCAGAAAGGTAAAGACCACAATGAACATAACACCACAGCTCGCCCTCCCCTCCTATCCTCCCTCCTCTCTCCTTACTCCTGCGTTACCTCCCCTTCCCTTCATCTCTCCCTGCCCTCCTCCCTCTCTCCTAACCCAGCACCTTGTGTTGTGGTCATGTTTGATGTTAATCTTACCCAGCCCTGTGCCCCCGTCTCTCTTTCACGCTTTCTCTCTCTCTCTCTCTTTCTCTAACACACACACACACACTCTGTCTCTCTTCCTTTCTTCTAACGAACGCCTCGGAGTCTCTCCACATGATTCCCCGAGTCCTGCCATACGGCATCGCCTGCCCAGCTCATAGGCAGCGGCGGCGTTAACCGAGACTCAAACTACGCATTTGTGTGGGGGCCCCCTGTTGGCCACAAACAGTTACTACACTAGGAGGGGCCACAAAGTGACTTTTTGAGTGGGGCCTCACAAACAACAAGCCTGTCTCTGCTCACAAACACACATAAATCAGGATGTGGATACACACACACACATGCACACAGACACCTGCACAATCAGGGGCTCCAAATGAAAAAGACTGGCAATGTCGTTTAATTAGGGCCCTTAATTGAAGCCATGCACTCAGCTGCATGCAAACACACACCCCCTGTGTTACTGCAGGCCATGTGGTCTCTCCCCCACACATGGAGGTGCATCGCCCCCCCAGCACTGAGGAGGTGTTGAGCGTCTTCATAACCCTGGATTTTATTGATTTGTGAAGTTACCAGTCAATGTAATTAATTTGGTATTATTATTATTTTTCTCATTAATTTATCCATATCTTCAATTGGTCCTTCTAGATCCAAGAGACTGTCCTCTTCCTCTATACATTATTTTAGATCTTTCTGTCTTCCTGTGGTCTCTCCCCCCTTTTCTTTTCCTTCCTTCAGGATGAATCCCTCGCTTTCTTTCTGTCGTTTGAGTTCACTCTCTTCATTTTTGAGCGCGACATCTCCTGAAACAGTAACAGTGAGAGTTTTTCCCCCGGATCATGTGACCCAGTGCGTCCAATCCCGTGCCCCACCTCGTGAGTGGTTCCTCCCATTTCCAGGTGCTTCCGTGTGCGCTCTCACCTCCAAAGTCTCTCTGCTTCTCTCCCCTTTATTCCTCCTCTTCCTTATTTATTTAAAAATTTTTGATACGTATTTCTAATATCTCATGTCTTCATCGCAAGCAGCTGCCGGTTCACTGAACCCCCCCTCCCCCCCACCTCCAAACTCTTCGCCTTCTTTCCCTTTGTCCATCCTCTCTTCCTTTGTTACATTCCTTTCCTGTCCCCCCTGCCGTACTCATCCGTCTGTTGCCCCTCGCTTCTCACCCACATGTCTGTGGCCTTCCTCCCTGCTTTGCCACGAAGTGGGCGGCTTCCAGGGCTGGGGTGGGCGGGGTCTGGCAAGTGACTACAGCACCTGCTCCTGAGGGGTATGCTCCGCCCCCAGTGGGTGTGCACAGCTCCAGTATGGGTCACCTGAGGCAATTCTGACCATTCTAACTCAGTGCTTGATTTGGGGTGCCTGCCCAGAGAGGGCGTGTCTTATTCAAAGAGGGTGTGTCCTACTCAGAGAAGGTGTGTCCTTTCCAGAGAGGGCGTGTCCTATCCAGAGAAGGTGTGTCCTTTCCAGAGAGGGCGTGTCCTACTCAGAGAAGGTGTGTCCTTTCCAGAGAGGGCGTGTCCTATCCAGGAAGGGAGTGGCTCTAGCCCTGTCGACCCTAGCCCTGCCAATCACGCTCACAGCCATGCCACCCACCTCCTGGGCTATATTAATGTATGCATATCACACTGGCCCAATGTGCTCGCTCCCCTAACAGAAAGCAGCCCCCACGCCTCCTCGCTTTCTGGGCCTATTCATATGGCACGCAGGCATCTCTTTGAAACGCCATCTTCTGTCTCACTCCCCATCCTCTTTACAGCTATTATATCCTCTGTCTGCTCATTCCCAAACGATAACACAGCTTCATGTCGGCCCTGTCTTTGATAACTCACGCTGATTGATTGCTCGATTGTTAGGTTGATTCCTTAACGGATCGACAGATAGATTTTCCTTCCCCCCCCCCCCCCCCCCTCGCTTTCCGTTGACACGCTTCTTGCTGTTGTGCTCAGGAACTGGCCTCTGATTGACAGACATTTTGACAGCCAGTGACAGATGAGAGGAGAGAAGCTGACAGGCGGTATGCAGCACCGATTCCCGATCGGTGCTCAGACAACAAGAGGTCGACCAATGAGATGCCGGCAGTTTAGAGCTCAGCCAATGAGAGCCTGGTATTACTCAGCGATCAGGATTTCTGACTGGAGCCATTGGCCGTAAATTCAGCCGGCTGTTTCTGGTACCACTTTATAAACAGATGCTTCAGTACCCATAATCCTGTATTGGTCTGCTGTGTTCCCAACAAGGATACCTGTCACCAGCGTCCCAGGACATCAGCAGCATCTTCATCCTGGTGACCAGGTGGTCACTATACGGTCAGCAGCATTGTAATGCAGTGCTCTAAGGCCCGTTACTGAGCCATCATTGCCCTCGCACCGTCCTGTTCAGAAAGCTGGCTTCTCCTTAAACAGCTGCTTCTTCGGCAGATCATAGCTAGCGTGTCTGTCGGGCCGGCGTGCCGGTTATAACCCTAATTTAGTCCTCACAGTCTTGACAGAAACAACAGATGGAAAAAGCGACATCCTGCATTTCTCCAGCGTGTGTGTGTGTGTGTCTGTGCATGTTTTGTTTGTTTGTGTGTTTGTGCTCGAATCATATTGCTATGGTTTCAGGCGGCGGAGGGGGGTGGGGGAGGGAGTTCAGATGTCACACTCTGTGGTCGTGCTTTGGCTCGAGCTCTCTGAGAGTGGCAGCGCAATACCTCTGTCTGTCCCTGTCACTGAAATCTGTCCCTCGCAAACCCGTTTTACAGGACGGAGACTCCTTTGTGTGCCCCCTTTTCTCCCCCATCTTTTAATTAAATGTCCTCTCTCCTATAGATGCGAATTCACACATGCATAATTGTTTTCCATTAGGTCTTCATCGTAACAGCAGACTATGCTCTATGGCACCCCTTTCAGGTCAGAATGTGTACTGAATTTAATTACCGCTGCAGGATCGATCTCCGCGCCTAAGGTGTGTTTGAAATCCTTGAATCTGCAGCGGGGGGGGGGGGGCAGCAGAATCAGCAGGCGGTTTTTGTTTCGGAATAGGGCTGTGGAAAATCAACGCTGGCACGGCAATGCATGGGGCCCCCATGTGACAAAGGTGCAAGATAAATATGTTCCTGTCAGAGTCCCCTAAACCCCCGCTCCGAGCTCGGGGGGGTCCTCTGTTCCTCCTGCTATCAAGCCCAGCATGAGTCTCGTTTAATGAGCAGGCAAATGTGAACTAGCGAGGACTCCCCTCCGCCCGCCCCTTCCCGCCTATCTGAACTGCATCGGCGGCGCCGCAAGCAGCTGGGGTCCCTTGGATGAGTGGCAAGGTGAAAGAGTCACCGTGGTAACGGGGGGAGGGGGGGGGGGTCAGGAAGGGACCTAATGCTGTTTAAATATTAAAAAAAGGAAACAAGAGCATCACATACCTCATTTACAAGAAATTGTAACTGTGACTGCTGTAAACCCTCAGTTATAGAAAAGCCTCCCCCCCACCCACCATTTTCCAAAGGCCAACCCAGCACAATAAAATTCAGGCCCCCGGCATTCAACATGGTCTGTCCCAGGGCTCGGGCATCCGGCGTGTTCGGACAAAGCAGCCATGCTCAGACAGAGATCGGAAACGCAAACTGGCGATTCCACGCCAGATAATGAAGCTTCTGGAAAGCCTCCAGGTCTACGTCCTCTTCTCCGCGTCGTCCGCGGCAGCAGTCACACGGAGAGCGGAATGGTGCACACCCACACCCAAGAGGGGGGGCTCCCGGTGAAGGGAACTGCAGCGTAGTGAGTGGCAGGCATGCGGGGTGAGCCCCCCAGGCCCTGCACAGCTGCCTTCACCTTTACTTATTTTGAATGGAACCTGGAATTTTTTTTTTACCCCCAGCACACAACTTGGAAAACAGGGCTTCTGTTGAAGGTTGTTCCTAAGCGATGGCGATTTCCTGCTTCTCCCCCCCATGGTGGCGCTATGCTCTGTTTTTGTGCCACATCGTGAGTCATAGTCTTGTGTCTCAGGGGGTGGATCCACGTGCGGCAGGTGAATGTTGAAGGTGAGACAGGGTTTCCGTACTCCTGCGCGTCACTCTGTTAGTCTGCCCCTGGGACACTTGTTTGTTATTCAGTGTTAAGACAAACACACAACCTCTTCTTATTCTGCTTCTGTGGCCTGACACTAATGGACAGGGACACCCCTGTCACCTATGTCTGAGTGGCACGGATTTCAGTTTGTCTGGGCACTCCCTCTGCTCACTCTCAGAGTGCTCATCCAAGTAAACATGAGTGTTGACTTGGACTGATGGACAGTGACACTGATGTCCTGCAAGTGACATTGAGTATCTATGTTCCTTACAGGGAGTCAGTGAGCAGGACGTGTCTGTGTTCCTTACAGGGAGTCGGTGAGCAGGACGTGTCTGTGTTCCTTACAGGGAGTC